AGTAAGTAAGTAAGTAAGTAAGTAAGTAAGTAAGTAAGTAAGTAAGTAAGTAAGTAAGTAAGTAAGTAAGTAAGTGAGCAATCAAAAGACCTAGTTACTTTGTTTTCTCTTATCAACTATCATTTCAATTAAGGATGTTAATATTAAAGCACAAAATCGTTTTGGATTATAATTTCATTTTATTGTCATATTACTCAACAGTAATCGACAATAAATACACAATGTGGTGTTCTTAAATATTTGGGTTACCTGTCCCTACCATCTGGAGGTTTCAATAAGTCATCTGTTGTTTTCTTGTTTGTTTTTACACATCATTATTCCTATCCATATAATATATGTATATACAATATACATGTATGGATCCGACTGGAAAATTTAAATTATTTTATATATATCGTAGTTAGATGAATATTGGATTTATCCAGCATAAAAAAAATAAATTAGAAATATTTGATACTATTAAGACAACACGTATTTTGGTGGGGTATTGTTCTCTTAGCTGGATGACTTAGTCGTGGAGCTGTCATCGTTCTTTTGAACGACATCATCACCAACACAAACTTCAAGTAGAAGTGAAGTGTACGAATTTCGAATTTCGAAAACTTCACCACTACCAGTGCTCTCCATCCAATCCTGTCCTGGGCAAACCTTTCCAGTTCCTTCATCCTTTTCATATCCGCTTCTATTTCTTGACGCAATGCGTTCTTTAGCATTGACGATTTAATAATGACATTAAGATATATAGAAACTGTATTATCATCATATATGAAATGCTTAATGTTTTTACATGCGAAAGACATTACTTACTTACTTACTTGCTTACTTACTTACTTCCTCACTTAAGTACTTACTGTTATGCCCAATAAACATAATGAATGGTAACTTTTGAGATCCATTTATGGATCAACACTATACGTATATTGTTATTGTATATTTGTTAAGTAATTAAACTATTCATATTAATCTTCCTCTTATTATGAGCTTCATTTTGACCTATGAATGATTATTCTACGATTTACCATTCTCGAATTATGCCCTGTTTATCAATTACTATCTCCCATATTCACAGCCACATTTGGTCAATCTTGTACACATGTTGTTTCTTATTTTATAGTACAATGTGGTCTGTTTGATTGGTATATATAAACCTAGTATGCTTGAAATAAATGATTCATGTCATGAAGGCTGAGATTGGTGTTCTAGACTTGACAGGCTGGGGTAAGCAGGAAGTAGGACTGATAAGGACTGTAGACTACTCGTACAGGTTTTATGGGTCATTGACCTGATCGATAGTTCATTGCTCTCTAATTGGCGGTATCATTACGTTGTATATTAGCAGGCCACTCAGGCCACAAGTTATAACACTTACTTACTTACTTACTTACTTATGCCTGTTACTTTCCATAGAGGAGCATAGGACGCTCACCAACATTCCTCATCCAATTCTGTCATGGGCAATTCTTTCCAGTTGCTATCCATCTTTTCTTTTCCATGTAATGAATAAACACATAATGCATAAATCAGAAACCTTTTATATTTAATTAATAATTTACACTGTTTACTATGAATTTGTATAATTATATTTACCGATCATCATGTGCTTAGTGGACGAAGTGTTTAATTTTCAAACGATATGTCATAGATTCAAATCCTGATCCGTTTATTTCAGTTCAAGCAGTCAGGCAGTAATCCTGTGATGTGTGCTAATGATGTCAATAGATATAAGTTGTATGTATCATCAATAGAAAGTGAAATGTTTGGCGGTAATAGGTTAAGAAGATCGAAGAGAAGAGAACGAGCACAGAGAGTGATTGGTATGGAAACGAAAGAATAATGAAATCTGAGACGACTGATTAACAATGTGCAAATGAAGTATTTACTGCATGGTTTTCAGATGTTACTAAGACGTTCTGTAATGTTGTATTCCAATATATTTGATTGTCCCCACTTGTTTTCTCGTTCACTACATTTTGAAAAAAAATATATTTCCTAACAATTTTAAATGTTCTAAGCATTGTACAATAGTATTTCTTTAACTCATTTTATGTTGGAAGCCTTTCTTAATTCTCATTTATTCGTCCCTCGGCAAGATTACAATTTATGGACTAACCAATCATATACAAGATAATAAGTTTTGGATTTTGGCGAGAAATTTTATTCATCCATTTGGCTAAATAGTGTCTTGACAGTTTAGCTGATATCAGTTCGTAGTATAAAACTGTGATTGTAATTCTTAGCCTTAACCATCAACTGTTGATGATGATCCTTATTCTTCAAAGTGCTTCATAACCTGCATTTAGTCCTAGTAAGTAAATAGACATTCTTAAGGTCATTCTAGAGTCATTCAAAGGTCATCCCTAAATTATAGTCTCACCATTTAAAAAAATTATTCACAAATCAATATCCATCTATTAAAGGTAAATCTAATAACATTGTATATATATATATATATATATATATATATATATATATATATATATGTGTGTGTGTGTGTGTGTGTGTGGATACTCTTAGTTTAAACAAACTTCAATAAGGAAATAACATATTATTGTAATCCATAATAATAGACTATACTGTGACTTACTAGTTAAATTCATGAGTTAATTAAAGCTAGGTCACTATGGGAAACCTGGGAAAACTGGACGGCTGTTTTGTCCTCAGTAGTGCGTATTCACGAACTCGCCTCGTGTGATTCGAACTCAGGACCTATTAATTTACCGCTAGAGTGCTCAACCTCTAGACAACTGAGCTAACCGACATCCAACGGTGTTAATCTCACCAATCATGTATGTGTGGTGGTAAGGCAGTCTCATACTAGAATGAAACGGCAGTCCAATGCCTCCAGATTTTCCATGGTGGTATAACAATAATTGATTCATGAATTCAACTATTTAAATTACTATAACATTCACACAAAAAGCCCTCTCTAATTCTACCCTCACTAACTCAACATAACAATTTCCATTACTCTTACCTGTCCTTTGTTCATCCACGACAGATGGTACTCTGTTATACGATGACGAATTGTACGCGCTATATAACTGGCTCCACAGAAACAGTTGGATCGATAAATACGTATGAATTTGACGAATTCAGGCAATCTGTCTTTATTTACCGTTTTTATTGTGGAGTGGTTGTAGAAAATAACACTTAGTCTAGATGCATTAAATGTTTTTTGTAACACTTTTCTTAGTCTCTCAGTCACAATTTTTTTCAGTAGTGTCATTTACGAATTGTAATTTTATGAATAATACTTTCTTAGGAACGTTAGATATCTTTTTCCTTCTTTTCATCACCTTCATATGTTTGTCGATCAAGTTTATTGGGTACCCATTCTTACTTAAGTAAGTTACGAATAATAACCAATTCATTTACACTAGTGTCATCTGAACAAATCATTCTAGCACAATGAATCAAGATCTTTATCAAGTTCCTTTTGTATCCATGATGGTCTAACAACAATTGACTCATGAACTCAACTATTAAATTACTATTGTAGATCACCAATGTAGATGATCCATGTCGAAATGATTGGAGGCCTACTCGAGTTAGACGGGAATGGTGTGACGAACCAGCTAACGTCGAAGTCACACCTCGTGGTCAGCACCTTACGTGGACTACCCCATTGACGTATCAAGGTACCATAGTTGTTTTGAAGACTGTACAAAACAGAGGACGTTATTACAGAAATACATTAGTTAAAGTAGATACAAGTGAGAGTAAGACCACTGCCGCATGGGCCAGTACATGGCATGCGACTAACTGATGCGCGTTGGTTGTCCCTGACCTTGACGAGGATCGATGATTTGCTCGATAATCAATCACCCAACTACCGGATGATTTGGCTAGGGCTTAGTGACATTTCGCTGGCCCTACATTATAATAATATTTACAAAAAAACACCCCCCTCTCTCTGATTCTACTGTAACTCAATCAACATAACAATTTTGTATACAATAGGTAACATTTCTTTACAGTAAAACAAAACAAAAAAAAGAACATTGAACCAAGTTATAATGATGAATGATAATAATACTTTATTAAATGACATAAATGAACGGGGTTGATATGAACTAATAAATATTAATCAATAAATGTTTACTAAATGCATCCATGTTTGTTTATTTAGTTGAGTATGGTTTTATTGGTAGTATTAGTAATAATAATGGTACGAATGGTACTGTTGGTAATCTTTCCAATGAAGTTACACATAAAGATGATCATATTCAAGTAGACAATTGAATTTTTAATGCATTTGTTTTCATTTGGAAAATGTGTACTCACATAGTATATTACTGATTATGTAATAGATGATGGTGATGATAATGGTGATGATCATGATAGTCATTCAATGAATTCTATTCAAATTGTATAATTCATCTAAAAGCTAAACAACCGAATTGTTTCCATTTAGAAAAACAAAAAAACACACAACAATAATCATAACAACAAGGTGTTTTAAAATAAAAAAGAAGATAACGGGGGAATGGATTGATTAATTGATCGATCGATTGATAAAGAATGAATAAGTGATCGATTTTTGTATGATTAAGATCATTACAAACGCATTAATAATTGATCATAACATCAACTTCATTATATTTGATTGAGAAACTCTACAATAAAGATACGGAGGAATTGACTGATTGATTCATCAATCAATCAATTAAGAATAAATAATTGGTTTTGATTAATCATGAGTAGCGACATTTATCAAGAAAGAAGATAAGGAGGGATTGATCGATCGATTGATATAGAATGAATAAGTAATCGATTTTTGTATGAATAAGATCATTACAAATGCATTAATAATTGATCATAACATCAACTTCATTATATCTGATTGAGAAACTCTGTAAGAAGTGAAAAGTTTCAGGTATTTGAGTAACAACATATATCAAGAACGAACATAAGGAGAAATTGATTGACTGATTGATTAATTGATTGATTGATCGATCTATCGATTGGTTAATCGATAAACAATCAATGATTGATCATGATTAAATTTGATTCACAATAATTAAAAAATAACACCAATAAAAACAATTATATAATACAAAACATGCTGGAAATAAAAATCTACTATATGTGTCAATTTCTGATTCAATTAAACCAGGTGGTCGTTTTGGTTTCGTTTTATCTTTATGATCATCAATGAATTGATTAGTTAATAAATGCTCTAATTCTTCACGAAATTCTAATTGTCCTCTAGTTAAATGATTCGAATTTTGTAATTGTATTAATTGTTGTTGTTGACATATAGCACACCAACGAGCTAATTCTTCACGTACAATCTCTTTAACATCTTCATGCCATGTTTCAGATTGTTTACGTCTTAATATAGTTAATGCTATAGCATATTCAACTAATACACCTATAACAAATATAATAGAAAATATCATCCATATATCTATTGCTTTAATATATGATACACGTGGTAATGTAGATGAGACACTAATAGCTTGTGTTAATATACCAAGTAAACTTAATAAACCTAATGGTACACGTGCTGGTGCTGAATCAACATTTACCCAAAAACTTAACCATGATACCATTATAATTAATACATTTGGTATATATGTTGTAGCTAAATAACTACCTAATTGTCTTTGTAATTCAAATGTTGCATTTAAACATGTATATTGTCCAGTAGATGTAGAATAACCTGATGAACAATCATTAGTAATAAATTGTTTTGGTGTTTCAAATTCAGATAATTGTAATTTTTCAGCTAATTCCACTGGTTTATCATGATTCCATACAAATTTTAATTCATTTAATGTAAC